AATAATAAAATTACTATTAAATCCTAGAAGCTTGAATTCTAACAGGTGACCCAACCAGTGCCGAGACACCTGAAGTTGTGTCCACGTGTCTAACGGCGTCTTCATGTCTTTGGGCTCAGTTTGGCGATGGGTTCTATCCACGGTCACTCAGCGGCAGTCGGGGAGCTGAGCGTTGTTTGGGTCGACGCTCACGCCGACATCAACACGCCACTGACCTCAGCCACAGGAAACTTCCACGGACAGCCCATGTCCTACCTCCTCCATGAGCTGCAGTCCAAGGTACGTTGTGTGAAGCGTGTCGTTCTCACGGTTCCTCACGGTTCCTCACGGTTCCTCACGGTTCCTCACGGTTCTCATCCCCTGTTGTTCTCTGTGTCGTCAGGTTCCTGTTTTACCAAACTTCTCCTGGATCAAACCGTGTGTTTGGGCCAAAGATCTCGTCTACATCGGGCTGAGGGACGTGGATCCAGAGGAGCAGTGAGTGTCGGCGTTGACAGGACGACACATGTCGGGTGTCAGGTTCAGAAACGATCAATGGGCATCAGGCAAGGGGTCATAATGAACGATAACCAACATCTGGAACGCCTCTCGATGTTGTAACAGAAAGACGAGACGTAAAGACGGCCTGTGATTGGTCGAGGAGAAACGTGAGGTCTCTCAGCCACAAGGCCACAAAATGAAAAAGTCTAATCCCAGAATGTGACACAGCGTCGATCACAGACAGAGAAATCTCGTCATCTGACTCGTGTTCGACAGAAACAGAAAGTCAGTGACGTCGTTTTGTGTTTTTTGTTTTTCAGTTACATCCTGAAGCTGCTGGGGGTGAAGGTGTTCTCCATGTCGGAGGTGGATCAGCTCGGAGTTTCCAGAGTCATGGAGGAGACGTGTGATTATCTCTCTGACAAGTAAACTGCGCCCCCTGATCAGATTCACGGTTACTTCACGTCTGACGTGTCGTGAAAACTTCAGATTGTTGTATGAAACTCAACATGTAACAAAAACGAAATAAAGAAAACTCTTCTTGTTAGAACGTCAGCGAACAGGTGACACCGACTTACCGTTAAGTTTTATGTCTCCACGCTGGCGACACCCAGTGGTCGAAGGTTTAATGATATCTTTATATTTTCGGGTTGTCCGTCCCATTCTTAAAAACACGACATCTGAAGAACGCTGAGGAAACTGTTTACAAACAATGATCAGATTTCAAAGGTCAAAGGTCAAAGTGATGACCTCACCAAACAAATCAAACATTTTATTTTCTGGACGTTCTCTTTTTCTTCAGAACACAAACAGCGTCCGTCTGATCACGTTACCAACAGACAAATAAATCAAGTTGTTCTACTTTGACCAGAGTGAAGAAACCGATTCACCTGAGTTACGACATCGATGCTGTTGACCCCTCTGTTACCCCGGCAACTGGCACACCCGTCAACGGAGGGCTGACGTACAGAGAGGGCGTGTACATCACGGAACACCTCTGTCAGACAGGTAACAAGTCTGTTCCACACGTGGTCTGGTCCAAACACGTCACGTATGTTCATGTATGTTCCCTCTCACCTGCAGGTCTCCTGTCAGCAGTCGACATGGTGGAGGTGAATCCTCTGAGGGCTCGGACGGAGGAGGACGTTCAGTCCACAGTCAGCACGGCGGTCCACCTGCTGCTCGGATGTTTCGGACGTCTCCGTCAGGGAAACCACTCGCCAGGTTACCGTCTGCCTGAGCCGTGAGCAGAACGACTCTGACATCTCCCACTGCTTCGACAGACACCTGAAGGTCTCACAGATCCTCACAAAGCTCAGATGATGAAACTTGTGAGTTTGTTTCTTGACGTCAGTGAAATGTTTTTATTTCTCAAAATGGAAATGTGATGTTGGTGAATCACTGGAGTTAAATTGAACGTTCATAATTCTACTGTATTGATTATTTAATAAAGACACAAATCAGTTTTATAAAAAGTCTGTGAATCTGTGAGGCATCAAAACGTCACCTTTATTCTGAACGGAAAATAACAACACTCACACACAAAGTGCAACTTGAACATTTCACTGCATGGAATCAAATCTGTGAGTCTCAGACTGTGAATAAAGATGGACGACACTTCACCTCCAGAAATGAAGCTCAAACATCTGGGATTTGAACGCTGCCATCTTGTATATGTGACCTATACTGCATCCAGCCACCAGGGGGCCACCCAGCCGTCATGTCGTCCATCTTGATTTATGGTGAATATTTGAGTGTTTCGCTGAAATCGACCGTCGCTCGTTTACAGACTCAGTTTTAGACACCGGTCATCGTAACGTTCCCTCTGTAAAATGTGGAGCATTGCATTGTGGGATTGTGAGTGGATATGAACCTGTTCAGGTCTAGAACATGAACCTGTTCAGGTCTAGAACATGGACATGAACCTGTTCAGGTCTAGAACATGGACATGAAACTGTTCAGGTCTAGAACATGAAMCTGTTCAGGTCTAGAACATGGACATGAACCTGTTCAGGTCTAGAACATGAACATGAACCTGTTCAGGTCTAGAACATGAACATGAACCTGTTCAGGTCTAGAACATGAACATGAACCTGTTCAGGTCTAGAACATGGACATGAGTGTAAACGAGTCGTCCGACCTTCAGGTTGTGTTCAGGGTCTGACAGGTGAGTTTCTATTGGACAGACGGAGGCTCATACTTTAAGCTAAGCTACGCTAACGAGCTGCTGGTTGTAGCTTTAATATTTCATATGAAGACAGAAGAGTCTGATCAGTAAGTAAAGTTTCTCTGAAAGGTTTAAATTCTTTAAATCAGATTTTTATTTCTTTAAAAGTTTGAATGAAGCAGAAACATTTAGTCAAAACTGATTTTATAAATATCTGAACTTGTGCTGCTTCATGTGACAACTGTTAAAATGAAGATTAAACTGAGACGAGGGATGGGCGTGTGTGTGTGTG